TAGTCCACTCGGTTTCGTTGGAAAAGCGATTTATCAGTTGGGGTACTGCCCTCGTTAGTAGTTTTCTTTTGTTGGAGTTAGTGTTTTGCAGTTTGTGATAAACACTAGTCAAATAAAAGAGTCATACTACGTATCGTAACGCACGCATACAATCAAGTCAAGGACTTATAATTAGAGGAAATATAAGTGGTCACACACTTCATTTCGATTTCTAGCTACAACAACCAGTACATCAACAACAACGACCAGCTCATCAAGTGAGTAGACTATATTTGATAAAGTGTAACAGATCTCTTCCTTCTCGAAATTTAAACTATGTTCTAGCATCAACATCAACGTCATGGACTACAGCGACTACTTGTAATTATTCTGATAATGAACTTTACTTTCTCAGTAAATATTATGTCTACTTTGTGTCTATTTATTAAAAGGTGGAGCAGCTGCAAGTAAGGGATTCGCACTTTCTGCACCAGATATATTTGTTTTTCTGTGCTGATTTATAGCTACTGCATGTTCATCAGTTTGTACACCATGTACATCATCAACATCTGGTTTGCTCATGTCTTTAACGCAGGCAAATGCTTCAGCTTGGACTGGTACACCTGGTAGTTACTCCACAATTGGTGGTTATGCTAATTATACATACAGTTGGGTTGCACCTGGCAGTACAGCTACAATTAAATTTGCATTTTATACAGCTTCATCAGATGATTATTGGAATTTAGATACAGCTTCTGTTAAAGATACAGCTAATAAGGAACAATTAGTAAACGGAGATTTTAATTATAATAATTCAACTGGTTGGAAATTCACATGTCGAACTGACTGCTCATCTGTTCAACGTTTTGGTGTATTAGGGTCACCAAATTTGTGGCTTGGTTGTACTGGTACTGGTACTGGTACTGGTACTGGTGTTCAATATCAATATGCAAGTCAAACATTTTTAACTGTACCATGTATGACATACAGGGTTAGCTATCAGATTGCTCTGTATAATCATAGTGGTAGCACTGCTAATGCATATATTTATATTAATTAAGTAGAAACCTTTTAATTACAGTTTGAGTTTTGATAGAAATGAAATTTTTTGATATATTTCAGTTATTAGGTTTTTATTGCCGTACTTCTTGGTGATATTATGATCTTTCATTCCTTTGTTTTGGTACTATGTAAAATGTGATATATTTCTAAACTGCATTTCATCGTCTAAAATGTAAAATTAGGTCATGTTATACATCAAAAGGGAGTATTATTTCAAAAATACTATTTGATCTCGTGTCACACATAATAATCTAAAGCGACGTTTGTTTGTTCTTATTAATTTTTGCTGTTTTAACTCTTTAAGACCCAATGTTCACTGGGATGGATAGTGGATTTCGATGGAGTGCGACAGAGAAAAAAAGAAACAGTGAGAGAACGAAAAAAGCGATAGCTAAGAAATTCCCACCTCTCTTGGACTAAATGGTATTCGGAATATTTTGATCTAAGTACCTCACCGTAGCTATTTTTTCTATTTCTAAAATGAATACAGATACCGGGTGTTATCATGGAGCTGAAGTCCTATTATCTGTACAACAATCATACCAACAAACTGGTATTTTCATTCGTCGTATGAAGTTTTCGCTCAATCAAACGCTCAATCGGGTAAACCTCCGTGCGATCGGATAGCGGTGGTAATTAAATGTAATATTCGTCGATATGTGAATGAGAAACATGATTGTAACAATGCCAAAGAATTTGTTGATGCATCTAATTAACAAACATATGATAAATGGTGGTCAGAACCTCTAATAAAAAGTAAGAGATATACTTTAAAAGTGAATTAATACCTCGTTCGCTTTATTTTTCAGCTAGTGCTTATGTAAAAGAAAAAGATGAATCCAATTCATCGGGAATGACGAAGATAATGATCAGAGTGACGACGAAATCAGTTATAAGCCGTGAAGTTTTGTGACATTTGATTGTGGTGAATCAGGATGCATCCAACATTTCGCACACATGGTAATCTGATAATACATATGACAACAGGCAAACATGTTATGAAAATCGAACGATGTTAAAACATTTTTTATAGAACTAGATCAGACTTTGCTCCTTGTCGTTCATGGTTTTCAAAGTAACTATAGCGACGCAGCTTTAATAGCTGATTGTAGCTCGTAGAATATTAACGGATTCCTATGGGAACGCTTTTTGGATGCGATATAAGAATAGGCATTCTCAGTTTAAACTGCTTGCAAAAATTTTGCTTCGAGCTTTGAAATTTCTCGACATAGTACATATTGACAAGAAAAAAAAGACTTCGTAAGTCGATGTAAGTGGGCTTTCGATCCTCCGTCGTCTCTGAGAATACTCCAACATTATCTCCGCTTAGGACATAGCCGTAGACGGGTAAGGGGAAGAAAGCTGAGAGAAGATCTCTAGTTCGATGCAGTTTTAGTTGCTGATTGTAGCTTTGGTCCTGTGTAAAAAATGACGGTAAACGAAAAACAGCTTTTGTTTCTGATGTTTTATGCAGTTTTAGATGGGACTTGCTCTTGCTGTACCAGCTATAACTCAAATTGCCGACTTTTCTAGCAAAAGAAGAAGATTGAATAAACATTTTAGCATGGATGTGTTGTCCTAATTCTCTTTCAAACGTGTGAATCTACGACAGTTGCTCCGCGGACACTTGCTCCCGTGGCAATTGCTGCTCTGACAATGGCTCCCGCGGCACTTGCTCCCCTGACAATGGTTCCCTTGCGACAGTTGCTTCCCTGGTCGTTGCTCCCGCGACATTTGTTCCCCTATTTTTACTATTTTAACTTTTTACCGGTTTCTATTAAGGGGAAGGTCTCCCCCATTTAGATTTTCCTATAACGTTCCCAGTTTGTAGAGAACACTTCGAAGTATATGTCCTGAAGTTTCCTCGGCTTACTGACATTATGTAGCTGGGAAAAGATTAATTACTTAAAAAAATATTGTTAAATTTTTGAACAAGGACTATTGTTAAAAAAATTTCTATCCATTCTTTATTCATCATAAAGACTTGGTTCTTGCCTAGATCGATAAAGAAATGTGCGGAGAATATTTTCTATGAAAAAATATGCAAAAATTTTTGTTCTTTTCTTCCTGTTATTGACTAATCAGTACTAATTAGCGTTAATTTAGCCTACTCTACTAGTATAAAGCATCACGTTGAAAATTCAACGAAAATATTCAAGCAACACTTCATCTAACAGCGAATTTTACGGGCTACAAGATGGACTAACTTAAAAATTTTAGAATTCATTTTTCGCAGTTCTGTAAGTCTGTTAAGTCGAAAATTTGCCAATATTGTTTTAAGTAATTCATTTTTTCTCAGCCAGATAATGTCAGTAAGCCAAAGAAACTGCAGGACATGTACTTCAAAGTATCCTCTACAAACTGGGAAGATTTGAAGACAAAATGCAAAACTTGAAAATATCGTTGTTTTTTGGCTCAGCGAAGATTTTTTCACCTCACCTCACGGCTAGTTTCGCCCGAAGCAAGCATTTTGAAGCAAAACTCTGGGTATAAGAGTTGTTCAGAATCGAATTCTGCAGCCCTTGATGAGAGGCTTTTTGGTATAAACTATTTATTATTAAAGAGAAGTATATAAATAAACTATATTATGCTATCGAAACGCAGAGCGCTCATTATAAGCATAGTAAAAATGACAAATTTGAATGTTGAAGGAGAAGGAAAGCAAGAAAAAAAGAACAAAAACAATTACAACCAAAGAAAGAAAAAAAAAATGTAAGGAGTGTGCTGTTAGTAAAGGAAGAAGAAAGATGGTCGCTCGATGCAGTGATTATTTATATGTAATTAACTATGACGGCAGACTGATATGTTCACTGTGGTGCTCGGACATATATAGGAAAATAACGAAGCAGTGTAGACCATTCTCGCAAACAGCAACAAGTATAAATGTACGATGATTATGGAAGACGACGAGCAGATGACCTGAATCCTTCTTCACACGATTGGGTTATCGGAATGCTTACATGATCATTTGAGACAGTATACACTTGCTGTTGTTCAGATTCATGTCGCTGCTGTTGCGCAGAATGATACACTAACGATCGAAGCAACTGAAGTTGTTTCCATTTCTTCTTCAGTGAATATCGAACAGATAGATAGACCAGTGCAAAACCAACAATTATTAGTAATATCACAACAGCAACATCTCGCCAGTTCAAATGAAATTGTTTTTGATGTGCATCAAATATATTCTTGATCTCGACATGTAC